AATAGAAATTTGATAACAAGATGATATAGTAAAAAACAAAAAAAAAAATCCAAAAAGTGCAAGATAACAAATTTAAAAGGGAAGGTTATTCCAGAAGTAAGAGAACAAAAAAAAAGGCAACAATACCATATACATGTGTTGGATTCTTAGATCTGGTTGAAAGTGGTCTTTCCGTCACCGGAAACTTTGGTCTATGGTCTGTTCTTTGTGCGTTGGTCTGACTCATGGCGGGGTTGGTCTTTGTCAAGTTGCAGGGACGAATCTATTTTAGATCTGCCTCTTCACTCATGACGGAAGCTTTGCGATAGATCTCCTAATCATGGTTTGTTTTGGTTCGAGGAGGGTGACGCCGGATTTATTTGATCTACGGGTCTCCATCCTAAAATTTCAAACCTTGTGTATGTGTACTGAATCGTTTTGTCTCCATGCCGTTTTGTGAATTGCCGCATCCGTTGGTTACATTTTCTCTTCAATTCTCTTTTGGGTCTTTGTCTTTGTGCCTTCATTGGTTTCTTTGGCTCAGTATTCAGTCTTTTGTGGTCTAGTTTTTTGTTCTCTTTCCTATTTTCTGCCTTGATGAGTATGTTTGTTTATCGATACTGTTCGCGCTCTTACCGTCTCCAATTTTTGGTTTGATGCGAATTGTTTGGGCTCGGTCTTTGTCTCTACGGTCAAGACCTGATCGAAATCTCTCTATTGCATTGGTATCTTTCTTGGCGTAATCTTTTCGTGGTTATTTCGCTTGCCTCGAATTCGCCGGTTTCAAGAGTTGTGTTTGGGTTCTTGTTCTCTAATTGCTGGTAAAGATGCTTTAGTTCTCTATAATTTGTGAGGTAGTCTTCATTGTTATAGCCTTATAGGAGGAGCCGCTGTCTGTTTTCGTGAATTTTCTCGTCTCCATCAGTTAGCCGCTACTTCAAGCTTTACTCTTTGTTGGTTTTGATGATAGGCAAAGTGTGTTGTGCTAGATTCTGAGTTAGAGTTGTATTTCATGTTTCTTGTGCTTCGTTGCTTTCTTTGTTTTGGCATTGTTGTTTATTTCTAGTGTTGTTGTTTGAATCCCATCTTTTTGGGCTTAGTTTCCGAGGATATATTGTTATCCGTCGGCTTAGTTTCTAGGGATGTGTTGTATCCGCCGGCTTAACTTTCAGAATTATGTTTTTAATCGCCGATTTTGTAACTTGGTTCCTCTTTTATAAAAATTTTACAAGATGACAAAAAAAAACCATATACATGTGTTGGAAAACGTGACCAAAACTTCTGATTAGGGCCTAACAAAATCTTGAACAAGGCCATATACTACTACATAGACTATATAGGGGCCGATTGGTAACGACTTTTATTTTTGGCTGTAGAGACTTTGGCTTTAAGAACTTTGGCTATAAAAACTTTTGCTGTAAAGACTTTGACTTTAAAGACTTTCGCAGTAAAAATTTTGGCTGTTGAGGCTTTGAAACCAATTAATAAAAATTGCGAGTTTAAAAATTATAACTTTTAAATAATACAAATGATGAGATGATGACATGTACGATACAATAAAAATTTTATATCTAGTAAAAAAATCGTTGTTATTGTTATTGATACAATTGATTAGCCCTGAGACGGATCCGGATCCGGATCCGCCGAATCTACACTTTTACTATCCGGATCCGGATCCGAAACTCCCGGATATCCGGGATCCGGGTATCCGTAAGAAAAACCGGATATCCGCGGATATCCGGATCCGATCCCAATTACATCTAAAATTCAGCCACCGTCACGGCATGTCGTCCAAGCTCTGCCGCAGTCAGCCAGCTCCGCCGCAGTCTAAAGCCACACGATCTCTGGATCTTCACGAGCTCAACCACAAAATCTATTAACCACACCATAGATCCATCACGTTTCCTTCATAGATCTGTTAGAAATAAATCCATCTTCATGGAAATCTTCCCGATATCACACCAATTCCGTCGATTCGTCACCGGAATCACACACAACGAATGACACATGCACTTCCTCCTCCGTCGTAGAGACGAATCAAACACCAACAAGGTCTTTTGGGATTAATCGGAGATGAAAAATGAACAAGCGTTGATTTGGGATGAAGGATTGGAGAGGTATGAAAAGGTTTTTCTCGTGAGTTAGAGAGAGACTAAAGTTTTATTGGGCTTTTTGGTTTTATGATTCATTATTGGGCTTATCATGTAAATATATTTGGGCTTGCTTTAATGGGTTTGATGACAAAACTTAAGTATTATATAAACTTATAACCGGATCCGGATATCCGGTTCTCAATATTCTTATTATCCGGATCCGGATCCGGATCCGGCCGGATCCGTAAATTCATTATCCGGATCCGGATCCGCCCACACCGGATATCCTGTTTTTCGGAGCGGATCAGAGCGGATCCCGGATCGGATCCCGGATCCCGGATAATAAGTCCCAGGCCTACAATTGATGATGGTTTCTGAAAATCAGTAAATCTCACCAAAAATTATGAAAAATGGATGTTAAAAGAATCAGAAAAAAAAATTAGTATTAGTTAGTCCAATATTTATTTGTAATAATCTACATATAGATTAAAAAAGAGTTTTTAATGTTAATAGAGTTAAGAATAATAATAGAATGAAAAGAAGAAAAATAATTTAATTTAATTTTAACAAAAAAGTTCTCACAGCCTCGTTTACATGGCTTTTAGAAATGTAGAAGTTTAAAGAGGAAAAAAATAAAAGTGGACGGTTAAGACTTTAGAGAAAAAATAGGAAGTAAAAGCCTGATTGGAAAATTTTAGACTTTAATGACTTTAGAAAAAAATAACAGTTCTCAGAGCCTCTACCAATCACCCCCATAATATATATAGTCTTGTAAATTAACGTTTTCACTTTTTGGAGAGAACAGAGAGACAAGACAATGGACCGTGGGGGGATCCAGAGTTTCACACCAAACATCACGTTTTTTCTCACTCGCTTTGTTGTACTCTTCAACCATCTCTGACTGTTTACTGCTAAAGCTTACACGTGCACTTGTCTCAACATTTATTTTCTTAGTAAAATGAAAAAAAAGAGAGATGATATATATTTTGATCCAAAAAAAAAAAGAGAGATGATATAAAGTTCAAAATATAGTTGAATATTTTTATCAAATATAAAATATACTGTTCAAATATCCAGAAGTTTATATAGTTGTTTTTTTTTTTTTTTTTTGAAAAAGGAAGTTTATATAGTTGTTTGGTTTCACTTTCATTGTTATCTATGATTTACCCTCACAGATTCACGTGAATGCAATTCACATTAAGAAATAAGAACAGCTAAAACTCAAGCTCCTGCCATATATTAAGAGTCCAAAGTAAGATTCTGAATGGTAGCTAGCAATATAATAGACTATAGGGTCTTAGGTTGATAAAACATAAACCTAATAAAAGAGTATAATTTGTTTTTTTTTTTTTTTTTTTTGATAAAAGGCTTGGAATCTAATGTGTTCAATCCATTGATCTGAAAATAAAACAATATTTCAGGCAAACTCTAAAGATCATTGGTTCGAATGGTATTTGAGAGGTAACCAAATTAAAGACGCTGGTCCCCGATCCGAGAGAATGTTGTGGTTTAGGCCCAATTAAACTAAATTCTCTAACTTTGTTGTTATATTTACATGCATGGATGATTACTAAGAGCAATGTGAATAAACTAATTGATCTACTATGCTTGCAAAACTAGCTATTTTCTTTATTTTTTCATTTCTATGTAACTTTTTATTTATTTTGAATACTTTTGTTAACACCATCATACATGTGCATATAACGTAAACTGAGATTTAATTTGACAATTCTTAGCAAGTTTATTTAGATTTAGATGTATAGGTTTCGTCAAGAAAAAATTTAATTGAGATGATGTAATTATATATAACCAGTGTATGTGGGTGCTAATTGGCAGATGGGAAAAGAACTGAGGCTTTGATTATTAGTCTCATCATTAATAAAAACAGTGGTCCTTATATCTCTCAGTGTCTTTCATAATTCCGATAACAAAGACAAAATAAAAAAAAAAAAAAAAAAAAGACAAAATAGAGAATCGAAGAAAGAGACATTTGTGTTATTATCAGTAAATTATAAATTCATAATATTAAAACACTAGTACTATTATATTCGGAGAAAATTGGCTCCATTATTAGTGATTAATTATTTTGTTTCTTTCCCCCCATAGAACATTCAACGTTTCCCACCCATGCAAAATCCAACCTAAAAGCCAAACTTTATAAGAAAACCAACAAAGAGATCCCTATAATCTAAGATTGCAACAAAAATGCCCCAAAATTAATATCTCAGACAATCCACGCCCGTTTCAATCATGTAAACACTTGCAAACTTTTCGTACTTAGTCCATTAAAAGGTGCTAAACATAGTTTTAGTCGCACAAAGTTAGACCACATTCGATACAAAAATTTGTTCACTGCGCAAAATCATTATTATAATATATAGTACAAATACAATATAGTAAGTGTGATAGAAACCAAACTAAAAAGTTAAGTGATCATTTGGTGTGGAAACAGCAAATATTGGTCTCTACTAAAAAAAACCTAGTGGGACTACAAATTAAAAAAAAAAAAACACAAAAGAAAAAGAAAGTTAAAGTCTCTCTCTCTCTCTTTCTTCTACTAAGCTGCTTCATCTTCTTCCTCACACACTCTCTCTCAAAACCAGTAAACAACAGTCTACACAAATTCATAGCCCCACCAAAAAAAAAGACTCCCAGAATTTATAATCACAGATGAATTGGGGTTTATTGGTTGGTTATAACTTATAAGTAAAAACTCAGTACAAAGTTTGTTTGTTAGTTTATTCCATTTTTTTGTGTTTTTTTTTGTTTCCCATAAGTTATAAATTTTATAAGTAATGGAGTCCCACAACAACACCACTGGTTCGGCCCATCTGGTCCCATTCATGGGACCAATCTCCGGTTCAGTAACAACCACCGCTCAAAATTCCACTACCACCACCGTCTCCGCCACTAAAACACCCGCGAAACGACCATCCAAGGACCGCCACATCAAAGTAGACGGACGCGGCCGGAGGATAACGTATGCCGGCTATCTGCGCGGCACGTGTCTTCCAACTAACACGTGAGTTACAACACAAATCAGACGGCGAGACTATCGAGTGGCTGCTCCAACAAGCAGAGCCGGCTATCATCGCCGCCACCGGAACCGGAACCATACCGGCGAATATCTCTACTTTGAACGTCTCTCTCCGAAGCAGTGGCTCTAGTCTCTCAGCTCCACTGTCTAAATCTTTCAACATCGGAAGAGCAGCTCAAAACGCTGCCGTTTTCGGGTTCCAGCAACAGCTTTATCCTCCTCATCACATCATGACAGATTCTTCTTCTTCTTCTCTTCCCAAAACATTCCGTGAAGGAGATCTCTTCAAAGATCCTAATTCTCTCGATCAAGAACCCGGTTCAAGATCGCCTAAACCGGGATCAGAAGCTCCTGATCAAGATCCGGGTCTAACCCGGTCAAGAACACAAAACATGATACCACCGATGTGGGCAGTGGCGGCGCCAACGCCAGCCTCCACAAACGGAGGTAGTGCGTTTTGGATGTTACCAGTCGGAGGAGGAGGTCCAGCCAACGTTCAAGATCCATCACAGCACATGTGGGCGTTTAATCCGGGTCATTACCCGGGTCGAATCGGGTCGGTTCAGCTAGGGTCTATGTTAGTGGGAGGTCAACAATTAGGGTTAGGTGTTGCTGAAAATAACAATTTGGGGCTATTTTCCGGCGGAGGAGGAGGAGGAGGAGACGGCGGTTACGGAGGCGGTGGTCAGGTTGGTCTCGGAATGAGTCTAGAGCAAAAAACCTCAACGGCATCAGCAGCATCAAGTGAGTGATCATGCTACTGGAGACCAAAATCCTACTATTGATGGTTCTCCTTGAAGATACGTCATAATTTGTCTACTTCTTTTTTAGTAATTTTTTTTTTGGTTTTTAAAAAGTGTGAATGTGTGATTTATTGCAACTTTTGTTGAGGACTCCGATGTTAATATGGGTTTTAGGGTTTGCTTTTCGGGATTGCCAAATTGTTATTTAAAAAAATGGATTTTTTTTTTTCGTTGCATAATTACCCAAAGATAAAATGAGTTTTGCAACTCTTTTTATTCGATAAAAAAGCATGTCACTGAAGAGTGAAGATTTACTATGATAAGGATGTTAAATATATAGTTGAATCTATGTGTAACATAATGGAGAAAAAAATAGTAAGAATATATTAAATATTTATAAAAAATGCCTTCTATCTTTTGTTGATGGGTATAATTAAATAAACCTTCTTTGACCGCTAATATATTTCAAATATTTCGAATTGATTGCGGTTCGTAAAAAGCTAGGAATATGAATAAAATATATGGTGTAGAGATAAACTTTATTGGGTGCATGAGCACCACATGTTTGGATACAAATGGGTTTTAAAATTCCTATATATTAATTCTCTTTTACAATTTCGTATTTTGTCTATCATACTTTTGTAGTATCTACAGAAAAATTGTCCACTTGTGGAGCAACATGGACACGTCAGAGAGAACTGTCGGAATAAATCTTTCCAATGTGTTTGAAATATAGGCTCGGACTGGTAATTTGGTAGAATGCTTTTTTGTTAATGTGATTATGCAAGATATTAGCAATTGAAAAAGTAAGAAAATAATTGTTTACAATAAAATTTATACAGTTTTCCAATTGATATTTAAAATTTTCAAAAGATCTTAACAATTTTCAATATTTGTATTATGAAATATTACTTTAAAATTATTAAAAACATTATTTGTTTATGAAATATAAGTATATATACTGGTGATATAATATTATATTTCGCGATTATGCAAAATACATCGAATAAATGTTATACTTTTTAAGTAATTTATTTACAGCACCACAATTATCGGACGTGGATTGTTTCCGCCCATATGTCGAATATTGATTCGATCTTTCGAGCTAGTAAAAACTAAAAAAGTAAGTTTCCTAATTTTTCTATGCTATGGTTAATTTCTTAATTTATTTCTCTCAACAATTTGGGCATTTAGTAATATTATCCAAAAATAAATATGAATTGTTTTGAAAGCTCTTTTCAATTTTAATTTTTACTCTTATCAAAAAATTTCTAAAAATTAAACCCTTTAACAATTAGAACATCGGACTGGATTCTAGATCGTCGTACCGACCTTGTATATACTAGAACCCGCCATGAAAGAATGTATGGACTCTCGTCAAAAATCTTTTAGTCAGTGAAAATTTTATTCTTTTAATAAGAACTACATCTATACCCTCACGTTTGAACGGAATAAATTTTATGAAATTACAAATTTTTTAAGTTTTAAATTGAAGAATAGTAAAAAATTATATGAAATATGAATATATTATAGTTTTGATGATGTAATAATGCGTTTATTTCATGTGTTTTATTAATAGATAATCATTACAACAATTTCATTTTATGAGTTTATAGTTTGGTTTAAATGGGTAAAATTATGGTTAGTGAAGGATTGTTTGTAAATGTTTTATAAGAATTGTGTGTTAACCATGGTGAAACACATGGTAATTTTTTAATTGTTGTTATGATTACCAAAACAAATCTAGATTATTTATTACCAATCAAGATATAAGGGTTTAAGGTGAATTTTAAGCCTACTGCCTCATCAGCAAAAATTATTTCGAAGGCCTCTCCATGCACTGCGTCGACAAGTGCACAATTTTCACTTAAATTCTCCATTTTGTTTTGAGGGAAACGATTGGTGATGACTAATAAGTGCTCATACTTTGATTGGTGACTAACCTGCAAAAAAATGCCAAAGTTTTTATGTTTTCAGGGAGCTTCTCAGTGGCATCCGATCCTTAAGCTGCTGAATTTAAGACTTCAACACACAAATGACAAATCCAACAAGATGTTGACAAAGAACAAAGAACAAATTTTCACATCCAGAAGAAACAAAGATGAAAATTAAAGTATAGATCTTCACTAATCGAAGTAATCAATAATATCTTTCAAGTTTTCAATATATACAGTTATATCTTCTTCCCTAATCAACCCAACAATATCTTTCTTTCAATTATATTAAATTGGATTGTCGTTCCGGAAATATCTAACATGATTATATTGCAAAATTAAATAATTTAACATAACATATATACAATCAGAATTTATTAGTATAGTTTGGGAAAATTGGAAATAAAGGATATCTACTTAAAAATTTGTCTATATATACCTTTTTGGTGAAATTGTCACTTTGGACGAAACTACCCCTACACTCTATTTTAAACATTTTTTTAAAAAAATAATTAGAAAAACAGGTAGATATACAAGAGTATGGGTGATTTTAAAGTAAAAAAATTTAGATTTGGCTAAAAAAAAGTTGAATTTTTGATAGATAAAGTTTCGTCTAATTTTGTTAGAACACGTTTTCTAGAGTTCTGCGAAACTCAGAGTGTGTATTCTTCATTTTTGTACATGTTCTACATATTTTAGACTAGATTTCTGTTCTGAAAATTTTAGAAGTCCGAAAACCCTATATCTAAAATATTTAGAATATGCATTCTACGCTTTGCTCTATGTTCTAAATATTTTAGAATAGCCGTTCTACTAATTTCTACATCTTCTGCCATCGTTAGAAATTGTAATCTTCGTTTAGAATGTAAATTCTACGATATAATAGATTTCGTTTTCTGAAAATTTTAGAATGCTCTAAACATAGAAAGTAAATATTCAAAAAAGGAAACAAAATATATTTTTGAGATTACGTTTTAAATGAATATTTATTGTTTTTACGATCTACAAAATGTAGAAGTCGTTGTCTACGTTTTTTAGACAAAATTAAAACCCAAAACGTTTTTTAAACCCTAAGCTTATAATCATCTAAGTCGTTGTCCACCACTTTTTTTTCTAAAAAGCTAAGAACACGTTTTTCTTCTAAAAGGCGCTTGAGATCTTTACCATGTCCGAAAAAACGCTTGGGAAACTCCTTAGCAGTGGCTGCACATAAAAAGCAAACATATGTAAATAAAATCATTCAGAGTTATGACTAATTATAGTGCATAGTTGCAGTTAGCAAACAAAAAATTGTATGTTAAAGTAACTAATGTCTTACTCGTGCTACCTAGATTGTTTTGCATTGATAACCTTTGATGTAATATAGATCCAAAACCTGAAAATAGAGAACAAACTATCTTTTACAAATATTGAAAGTGATTAAGAGACAAAACACTTGATATAAAAATAAACCTAAGAGCTTCACAATGACAAAAATTTAAGAGCGGAGAGTTTCAAATCAAATTACAGTTTACTGGAGTTTTATTCATTTAAACTAAAGACGAAACCAAAACTCGAAATTCATCACCAGTGACTACTCTTTCAAACCCAAAATAATATAAAATATCTAAACAGCTCAAGAATGATCACAAAGAATTCTAATTTCATAAACTTGTGGTCTGATTTCATGTTAAGAAAATGACCCACCGTATAAAGAGGAGATTCAATTAAAAACAAGAAAAAGTACAAACACACACACAAGAATTAGGGAAACAGAAAAAACAGTTTTCCACATGCAGAAACAAACTTGAATAAAGATTTAAACATAAATTAAGACATAAAAGATATTTTCAATGACGATATGTGGATGTCTTTAGCTGAAAAAGATTTACAATTGATTAGATGAAGAAGATTTACAAGAGACAAAACCTATAACTAAAAAAATAAACAAGACACGTACAGACGTACTTGAGCTACTCATGACACACACACACAAATAGTGAACTAAACAGATCAATAAGAGAACAAAAATACTATAACTTAAAAAAAAAAACATGACACGTACTTGAACTACTCATGACACACACACACAAATAGTGAACTAAACAGATCAATAAGAGAACAAAAATATTCACTTCGAGTTTTATAAGAAGATGACATGATTTCAGTCATAAAACTCTTGTCTAAATCCATGAATTCGAACCCAAACACATATACATTAACATGAATCAAAGAGTGAAAGACTTATTCAATCTACATTCAAGTGATAGAGAGACTCTTTCTCAAGTGGAAGGTTTGACTCTTTGATTTCTATTTAATTTTTGTAAATAGATTAGGAAGTTTTATTTTTAAAATCAATTTTTATTAATTTTGAGAGAAAATGAGGGTAAAGTTGGGTTTTTTATTTTTAAAAAACCTATTTGACCAATCTACAAGAAGAAGGGATATATGGACCAATTTTTAAGTAGATATCCTTTATTTCCAATTTTCCCGTATAGTTTCTTAAGGAAATAGATTAAAATAAAAAAATATATGATGATATTGAACTTTATTTTTCGTTTCCGGAAATATCTCAAAATATATCACCAAATTAAATAAATTTTACATATAACTATTAACTAATTCAAAGCTCATAGTCAAAGTCAAAAACATATCTACCATATATCCGAATATTCTATATTTGTGAAAGATTTTGAACTATATATTTAATTTCATAAGCTAAAACGGAAAAGAAAAACAAAAAAACAGCAAAATACATAAAGGATTAAAATGGTTTTCATCAAGAAAATGTGTTTCCTTGTGTTCTTATTGTTTGGTTGTTCTCTTGATTCCAAGTATGCAAGTATTATATCTCTATTAATACTTATACGGTTTTACTACTACAATACATTTGTCTAAGGATTCTTTATGTTTCTCAATACTAAACTAATTTTTTAAAATTGATATAAATTTCAGAAACTACAAAAGCGAAAGAAATTGATGGAAGGAAGCCTCTTTTGATAGGTACTTGCGTAGAGTTTCCAGCAGAAAGATGCAATAAGACCTGCATTGATTCAAATTTTGCTGGTGGAAAATGCGTTCATCTTGGTCAAAGCCTTGACTTTGTATGTGTTTGTTATCCAAAATATAAAATATAATATATTTTTAAGATATTTTCTTA